GAGGGAACATTATCCAAACGTCGTGACCCCTAGCTCTATAAAACACAGGGAGGATGCACTGGCGTGGGACAGCCACGTCAAGCTGCACGCTCACCCCAGAGCTCTGCTCAGAGCGCTCCGCAGGACCTGCTCTGCCCACACGCCTGGCTGCAGAAGCACACGGGAGAGGGGAGCAGATCTGCAGCGCCAAGAACGCTGTTGCCATCTGGGATCCCGGGGGATGAAACACAGAACAAAACACGGCTATCTAGGTGCAAAAGGCATGGATCGTCTGCGTGCGTGGAGCCAAGCCCCACCAGCAGCACCAGTCCTCCTCGTGCAGCACCAGTAATACAGGGCCAAGACACCACTGCCGCAGAGACTCACAGCGCTCTGCTCGAGGCCCCGGCCGCCCGCTGGCAGGCGCAACTTCTAGGCTTCTCCTGCTCATTTCTGGGGTGGCCAGAAGCCAGATAAAGGCAAGCCGAGGTGGTCATGTGTCTGCGGGGAGCTGGACAGCCAGCATCTGGACAGCCAGCATCTAGAGCTGCCGCTGGTGAGACCAGGTTTAGACAGGAACAAGGAAGGACAGAAAAAGCAAGTGAAAGAGGAACTAAGGGTGCTGACACACAAGTATGGAGGACAGTTCCCTGTCACCTCACCACGAGCACAACCCCTGCTGTCTCCTGCCTGGACACCAATGCAGTGTGACACCTGGGGGTGCCTCCCCCTGGAAAATCCCTGCCCTACCATAGCTTTGGTGGGAGCAAGTCCCCTCTGAGAAGCAGCCAGGCTTAAATCTTCTCCTAAGTCAGGAGACGGTGAGCAGTGCAGCAGGGAAAAGGGAAAAGAAAAAGAGAAATCAGTTCCAGTCACCTCTGAAAGGAGCAGAGGAGTGCAGTGTTTGCCAAGCCTTAACCATCACAAATCACAGAAAAAACACTCCTGAAACTCCAGACAGAGTATCATCTGCCTTCCCTCCCCCTCCAAAAAGAAACCAGGGGAAAATTTATATCTTTTGCCCATCCTTTGTTCAGGCACTTCTGCAAAGCCAACTCCGGACAAGATGAATCTTTCTTCTGTGGCCACAGGACAGATATCCTCCCCAGTACTGCAGGAACTTCTCTTCTTCCTAGCATACACTTTAGTAGAGCATGTTTATCTGCTGCTAATTTCGTACTTCGCTATTTATTTGTGTAGCAGCTTTCAGTAAATTCCTGGAGCTAAATCTGACCAAATTCACCGAGGACTTAAGAAAAGTAAATTCTACAGGTTTCCTGTGCAAGCGCATTTTTATAAACACATATCCCAAACTGAGAAAAGACTCTTTCAATGGATTCACTAAAACAACCAACAACCCATACCCTGTTTCTCTTTTACTTTCCCTCCTTCTCATGCCAGATAGCTTTGCAGCGATATCGTAAGTACACGCTCACAGTAGCCCAGGTATATTCGCTCCAGCACGTCTTCATTACTTTATCAGATTCGCAGAGGGGAACAAGGATAGCGCGGCCTTTGCGCATGACTTCAGTGCAGTCCCCAAAGCACCTCACTCAGATGGGCTGCTAACCACGTTTTACAGAGGGGGGAGTCAAGCTGTACAAGTAGCTGAAGTGCCCAAGCGAGAAGCACTGATTTCTAGAAACCAAACTGGGGTTTCCTGAAAGCTGGCCCTGCAGACAGCACTGCTCACGTGCAAGCACTCAAGGCCCCTGGTGGAGCGCTCCACCTTGTAACTCCAGGATGCGGTTGCCCTGACTGCAAAATCACAGACAACAACAAACAACGCAGGCAGACGCGTCTTGCCCGCTAGGAAGGGAAGGCGCAAACGCAGGCTGCTGCAGCTTTCGCTTCAGCTCTTTGCTAGCAAATCACCTCTGCCTGGGCAGAAAGAAACAGCAATGCCAGGACGAAGCTCAGACTACGAACCCCAGGAGGAGGCTCAGACAACGAACGATCAGAAAGATTTTAAGTCAGCATTTGGCATTATCAGCAACGGGACCTATCTAGGCAAACAGGAAAAGCAACAGACAGAGGATGCAATCAATTTTATTCCAAAAGGGGAACAAAATAAATAAGCGATACTAATCGCTACAAGGAATCAAGACTGTGCAGCCCAGAGTCATAAGAAACTGGGCAAGCAGGGCTCTGCGTAAGCACGTTATCAGCCACCGAGACGGGTCCAGCCTGCTCCCAGGGCACGTGCCCCTCAGGCAGGGAAGAGGAGAGGCTACACCGCAACGCATGGGGACGGGACACCCGCTCTCAGTAACTTCCCCCATACAAGCCCTGCTAAAAACCCAGCACAACCTGTGCACACAGGCACCGCTCCGGAGTAGGAGGATAAAGCAGGGTCAGGAAGGCTCAGCCCCACCGATGAGTCCCGCAAGCCTGGGTGCGGGCACCCTGCGAGTCCTCCCTTCCGCCTGCCCGTCGCAGGGTGCTTCCTCCCGTCCCTGTCCCTCCACGCTGCGCAAAGCCGCGCAGCAGCACATCGCAGTGCACCAGCTCCATCTGCCGCTCGCCCTCTGTGCAGCACGCGGGGCCTGTCCTCCACCCGCCTCGCAGGCACAGCTGCACCCGCAAGGTGCCCAGGCCCACCCAGGGGAACCGGGGCAAATCTGCACCTCCTGCAGGGCGACCTCCAGCCCTGGGCGCTGCAGACGTGCCAGAGACCTGTGGGACCAAGCGTCACCTTGGCCAGTGACTGAACGTCATGGCTGTCCCCTGACTCGGGACAGCCCAAATCTGCACAGTACCCAGGGGGCAGGGTCCTGTGCCGAGATGGCTCTCACTCCTGCTGCTGCAATGCATCGGTCAGCACGCTGCCTCGAGAGGCTGCAGCCAGCTGCTTTGGTCCCTAGGAGGAGATTTTGGAAGCACCTGAATTTGTAAGTATGCTCAGGGAGAGACCAGAGCTGGCCCATCACCTTCCCCAAGGGTTGAGACCCAGATCGTCTCATTCCCTGGCTGCACTCTGACAGGATCCTTCTGATCGCAGCTCTGCTGGGAAGGCAAGGACAGCTCTAGAAACAGAGCCTGAATCATATCCTCCTGAGCAAAAAGTATATAGGGATATCATCAGTTCTGCCTCAGCAGGTCACGCTGGCTTCTGGGCACTTCATCAGGCTTTGCGTCTGCGCCTGCCCTGGGGAAATGGCCTAAGAAACAGGACGGTGTGCTGCGGATAGGAGAAACCAGAAGAGAAAAGGTCTCAGGATGGAGACGGGTTACTGGAAGAGATTCCTGGGGATGGGGTTTAGGATCAACCTTCTTCAAACTTTCAGCAGCATAAGAATTCTGACTTCTGACAACATGGGGAACGGGACACTCTACAGCAAGAATAAAGTCATGCTGCCACCTGCTAGCAGACAAGAAACTGTCACAGTATTAAAGGCAAGGTTATACAAAAGCCCCTACCCTATCCTAGGAACTCTCTACCTAAAACCAGGGTAAACGCTGAGGTCTGAAGCATAGTGCCAATCACAGGCTAACTAACAAAACCAAACACCCACCAGGATAAATCAGCCTCTTCCGGGAGAGTGAGAGAAGAAATCGCCCCACTGAGATCTCACCTCAACCCTCCAAACACCACTGCTTGCTCTCATCCCAGAAAGAGCTGCTGCCCGAGATGCAAACTGTGTGTTACTGCAAGCCTGCAACCACCTAAGAGCACAATCACGTTCATCGCTCAGTAGCAGTTTCACTGTACGCCCCAACCTCACTCAACGTTTAACTCAGCAAGCTCCACAAGCCCATGCCCTCCTGGTGAAGCAATGTTAGAAAGGTTATTTGCAGAGGAATTTGGTTTCTGAGAACAGCATGTGGCAACAAGGCAGCTGCATGTACGCACAGGGGTCCACAAGGGATCCAGTCATCACAGTGGCCCAGCAGCGGAAGAGCTCCACGGTTACGCTGATACCACAAACCTGAGCTAAATTGTTGCACTGCACATTTGTCACCAGCTTTATTCCAATTCTGAGAAGAAACCACACACTCACTGCTCTCTGGTGGTACGGTCACGGGGGAGCGCAGAGCAGTGTCACACACAATGCTAATCCACACGGTCGCAGCAGAAAGGAAACTATCTGAAGAATCCGTTGTACACGCTGTGCCCAGACAGCTGAGAACTGTTTGGCACAGGACAGCTTATCCGCTACGTGATGGGACTGAGTGCTAGCACCAGGAAATTACTGTTTAACCAGAAGAAAAATGAGAGATGGGGTTATTTACCAACAAATAGCTTGTGTGCACAACCATAAGGTTGCCCAATTATGTCTCGGACTCTTCCAGCTGAGTACAGCTAATACCAATAACTGAAAAACGAGAAATGAAAAGTTACAGCAGAATCAGAGGACGCCTCCAAGGAGCATTGTCCAGCAGCACCTCAGGACAGGAGCACTAAGCTATTTGGAGTCTCTCAGCTTAACACTGCCCACTTTTCAGATGCTTTTGTTTAACGTGAAGGAAAGCCTAACCTTGTACTGATTTGCTGGTGAATTACATTTTGGGAGGTGGAGCCGTTTCTCTAGCAGGCAGCAGGATGAACTCTCAAACGTGGCAGCTCCCCAGCTTTTGCTGGCTCTCCATTCCCTTTCTGAAGATCCACCAATAGCAGACACCCTCTTCTGACCAGGTGGCCTGAGGGAGCACTTGGGAAGCCACCTACGCACAAGCTCAGAGTCCCGCTCAGCGGCCTTATGCTGATCAACATCAGACGTGTGGGGTCCTTTTGCTGGACTGCGGCCAACAACACAATTGCTCAAAGCACCTGCTCTTGTCCAGGAGAAGTGATTTGCTAGACGCCCCCAGGCCACAGAATTGCTGTGAGACAATCACGCATGGAGGTCGACCACGACGTCTCACAACAGACTGGAAAACGCAGCAGGGAGCTCAGGCCTGAGCTCGCGCAGAGCAATTCCCCAAAGGATTCACGAGACCAGCCGCAGACTGTGTCCGGCACGGTCAGGACGTGACCTACCTCTGCAAGGGAGCTGCGGCCAGGACGGCGAGCAAGATGTCTTCTACTAGGCTGCTGCTCCTTTTGTCCGACGTGAAAGTTAACAGTGTTGGAAAGCCAGAGCGCTTCCTTTTTAACACTCAGCGGGTAAGACACCTCAGGGAGAGCCCGGTCCGCCCCGGCGGAGCCCC